AGGCGGTGATAGGCGCGCCTCCGCCGCCCGGTTCGTCGGCGGCGGATCGGGTCTGAGTGGAGGTCGTCCTCCCGGGCCTTCTCCGCCGCCTCCTTCTGCGAAATTACTTCCTCGCAGAAGGTTGCGACCGCGGTAAAACAACTGTAGCTACCGGCCATGGAGCGTACTACGGCCGGTAGCGAGAGATCCACTCCGATGACTGCAGTGAGGGCCCGGCGCTGCGTCGCCCATGCGGGGCAGACCGCCAGCGTGTGCTGGGCCGAGTCCTCACTGCAGTCGCAGTGGTGGCAGGCGGGACTCAGTTCCCTCCTAGCGACCGAGTGCAGGTACTTTCCGAAGCAACCGTGCCCGGAAAGCACCTGCGTCAGCCGGAAGGTAAGGGTCCCGTGCTGCCGCCCTGCCCACTCGGCGATGACCGGCTGGAGAGCCTCCACGGCGGCGAAGCCAGCGCGTGGAGTCTCCAGCCGGAACGACCAACGAGCCATCGTGGCTCGGCGAGCGGCTTCGCGCCACTCGCGCACATCTTCGGGCGGAGGGCGAAATCCGCTCTCCGCCCGGGAGTCAGCCACTCGCCGATAAACCTCGGCGTTGCGTGCCCAGAGGCGTGCCCTATTCTGGGCGGTCAGAGCCGCCGCCCACACCGGTGCACCGTATAGTGCCATTGACCGGACAACCCCCGTGTACAGCCGTCTTGTCGCGACGCTTGGTCCACCCAAATTGGGCAAAAGTCGCCCTAGGGCAGACGCAGCGCCGACCAGCTTTGGAGCAAGCTGTCGGAAGTGCTCGTCGAAGAGCCACCTCCCGTCGAGGATCAGGCCCAGATATTTCATCTGGGCCCGAACCGGTACGAGGACCGAGTTGACCACGATTGAGGCGCCAGGGGGTGGACCACGACGGGGCCCATGAAATAACAGGGCCTCCGTCTTATCTAGGGCCACCCGTAAGCCCAGCGCCTCAATGCGCCCGACCACCAGGGAGACTCCCCTTGTGGCCAGGCGCGCCGCCTCTTGGAAGTTCGCCCCCCGGGCTGTCACCATAGTATCGTCTGCGTAACAAATTACACCCAGCCCGGGGGGGAAATCGGCGCGAAGGGCCCAGTCGTAACCTATGTTCCACAAGAGGGGTCCAAGAACAGACCCCTGTGGAACACCGCACGACATGGGCCGACACCTCGAATTACCCTCTCGGTCCTCGTACACGACGGTACGCTCCTCTAAATAGTCTGCCACCAGCCGCCTCAGGTACTTTGGCACCCCATGATAGTGGAGTGCTTCCCTGATGCAGCTGAATGGCAGACTATTGAATGCGTTGGCGATGTCCAATGACACCGCCAACAGCACGCCGCCACAGTTCACGGTCTCTTCGGTCACGGCCCTCAGGCGCAAAACAGCGTCGACTGTCGAACGCCCCGCTCGAAAACCAAAGTGGGCGTCCGACAGATCGGGGCCCACCTCGTAGAGGTGCCGGACGATGCGATCAGAGAGAACCCTCTCAAACAATTTACCCGCCTCGTCCAGCAGCACGATGGGCCTGTAGGCCGCGACCGAATCGGCAGGCCGTTCCGGCTTCCTTAATAGGACCAGCTTCCCGCTCTTCCAGCACTCAGGGAAACGTCCCGACGCCAAGCTAGCGTCGAACACCTCCCTGAGGCGGTCTGCCATGTGGTTGAGGGCTAGGGCCAGCACTCGGGCCGGTACCCCGTCTGGCCCAGGGGCGGTGTTCTTGGAACGGATCCGTATGAACAGCCGCCCCTACCTCCGAATCCCGGACGGGCGGAACATCATCCTCTTCGTGCTCCCCGTCGTCTCCAGCCAAGGAGGCCATCGCCGGGGGAGTGTGTTCCGCTCGTTGCGGGAAAAGGCCCTCAACCAAATCACGCAGGAAGCTGGGCTGGAGAGTCTCCGTAAGGGGGGGGCCGACGCGCGGAGCTTTTGTCGCACCGCGCGGTAGGGGCGACCCCAGGGGTCACGATTAAGACCCTCCAGCATCTCCTCTCTTTTTTCTTCCTTGGCGCGGCTAATGAGGCTAATGAGAAAAAAGAGAGGAAGAAAAAAGAGAGGAAGGAAAACTCTGAAGCTGGCCATTGAGAAGAGGCCAGCTTCAGAGTTTTCCGCGCCTGTCGGTACTCCTCATGAAGCCGGTCCTCCTCACCGTCTCCACGGTGACGCCGCCGACGCGCGTGTAGGACCTCCGGGCACGTGTACTTGAAAAAAACCCTATACCAACCCGTTTGCCCTGCGTGGTATAGTAGGCCCAAACCTTCTCTCTAAGGAGAGGCCTATGTCCAGCAGTGGACTATTAAAGGCTGTTAATGAAGAGAAAAAGACACAGTTATTTAAAGTTACACTTACGCTGAACTAAGGAATAGGAAAAGCTACATAGCGGGTACATATCCTTGAATAAATCTATATATGAATAAGTGAAGAAAATTGTTTGAACTTCTTTTAAACAAATGTTCATATGTAAAAGTCCAAGATTTTTAAACAAAATGTGTCATACAGTTATTTTATAGAAAACCATAAAAATATCGGGTCTGCTGTATATTTTGACTTTGAAAATAAATTCAATAAAACAAAACGAAAGATTAAAACATTTGAAATCCACCTCCAGGCGATTTCTAGTAATATTAAGTAATGTAATACAAAACTTAGTAATAGCTTACTTAAAACTTACTGAAGTTAGTTTCAGATGGTATTTTATTTTAGAACCGTACTCGAGTTATGTAACATCAAACACAAATCATCTGCGTATTACCACTGTGTGTTCATTATAGGATCTATCAATACAATTTAGAGAAGCTTTAGATAAACCGTTTGTTAGTGTAAAGATTTATTTTATAATTAACAATTATAATAAAATAACTAAATTAACAAAGAATACATTTTGGAAGTCAACTTAAACCCACTTCCAATAGTGTATTCCAGTATAAAAGTGAAACATTATTATATAGATTGCATGACGATAACAGTTTCAGGATGTTGTTGATGTTAAAATTGTTTCTTACAAATTAATAATACTCGTACATATTTTATACATATTATACGTATTATAAATTATTAGAACTATAATTTGTCTAAATATTTTTATCGAGCTGAATATAAACAAACATAATACATAATTTGGTAAATTAGTGACAAATATATTCGATTAATAACTTATAAACTTTCGCTTTAAATGACAAACGTTAAATTTATGTGAATATCAAAGTGAAAGTTTGAATTTGAAAAGTTTGATTGTTGATTAGGTGAATTGATAAAACAAAAGTTTGTCAATAGATACTAAACAAAAATACTTTAAAGAAAATAATGCAGTAAAAATCTTAAAATCTAAGTAGATTTTAAGATCCAAATGTCGTATTCCTGAGTGTGCGAGTTTGTTTAATAATAGCGTATATTTAATTGTATTCCTGTATTAATTATTAAATAGATTGCGCAATATCATCAAGATCAGAATATGAAAAAGAAATGACCGAAATATATATATATATATGTATTGATATACAGATGTACGAGTAGAAGTGTAGTTTTTTTAAACAATACTTACGTGCTGTAAACTTTTTAAAAGGCTATAAAAATAAAGCTACACAGTGGCCAGAATATATTCTGACCTGTGATAGTACAATAGTCAATACAATAACCGTTGTATGTGGTACTGTTTAATGAAATATAACAACTGTAAATTTTCTACACGTACTTACTGTCAGCTGTAAAGGACCTAAATAAATAAAAAATGAAAAAAAATTCAATCAAAACGGTTAAACTTCGAGCGCCGGGCAATCTCCCGTACCTATACGAGTATAATAAAAAACAAAGGAATTTCATACTACTACTGGTTTCACAATTATAGAGATTGATTCTAGATATTTAAGAACAGGCCATTAAAATAACTAATTAACTCTGAATGCTTTATCATTCAAGAATAGAGTGTTGTAATTTGAAACAAAACGACTAGCAATTCTGCATATGGCACCTATTTTTTTATATGGTAAAGTATTGACGAATTAAGTTTGACGTTGTTACCATAATTTTATAAGTTTTCAGTGTCACCTTTAAAGTACACATGTCCCGACATACTAAGGCCTCAATTCTGCTGTTTTATGTTCACGCTAAATAAATCATTTCCTCAAAAAAACGTAATATATTTTTAAATTATAAGGAAATGATTTATTTATTTTTCCAAATATGGCAATCTTTTTGATATCACCACTGATGAGCCACTGCCGTTCCATCGCCACTGTAAAGACACTGAGTTAGTGTAGACTACCGATATTTATACCGATGCCAATGGCCACTCGATGGCATCTCAATAGCGTGTCAGTGGTATGACAGTGGCTTGGCGTGAACATAAAATAGCAGATTTGAGGCCCTGGTTGGGTTTACATATTATGCTTGGTTTTCCGGTAAGTATACATTACATTGTGTTATAATTATAAATTACTCGCTTCTTTACTCAACTGGTTTATTAGTTTCAATTCCCTTAAGTAATAGTTCTTTAAAATTACCGGTACTTTATACTACTGACTAGCTATTTCATTTAACTAGTGTATGTTTGACAATTAAGAAATGAGCACTATGCATCTGAGTGAGTAATGTGACCAGAAACTTATATGTTGCCTGATATGGTTTATATATATTTTTTTTTATTATTATTATTATACCATGCAGTATGAATAAAATGATAGTAGGTACAGCCACAAAAAAGCTCGAATATAAACAATAGAATAAACCGATTCTTGTAGAAGTTCTTGAAAAATATCTTTGGTGTGTAATAAGGTAAGTCGGATGTATATCGTCAAATGTCGCCCCACCTATAGGCTCGAATATATGTATATATTTATAAAAGAGTCACTGTTTATAAATAATATTCAATATAGCAAATAATAGTTTAAATATAAGCAAGGAATAACGTTAATGATTAATAACTGTTATGGAATAAAATAAAACAAGAAGTTTATAAAGTCCGGTATCGTCTAATTTGTACTCACTATGAATTAAAATATATCAATTACATTTTCCACTATCGTAAATTTTCTTCATTGTAGTTATTACCGGGGACGGGTCTGAAAAAAAAACAAACACAATTAATTTTTGTAATTACCACAGAAGACCTAGGCTTTTCATTAATATTCATTACAGTAAACTATGTTTTAAGTACATAATATTAAATTTCAAATTTATTATTTTAAACTGTTATTCGTAGCATATTTTTGACTCCCTTGATTTACCGTTTTTATTCTTCCATCGTGTTTCTGTCAATAGCTCAATACAAGTGCCATTTGGGTAAATAGTCGTTTCTTTAGATTTCTCCACGATTGACTCATCTTGACAAGGCATTTGAAATATAAATAAGGTTACTTTAGAATCACTCGACAGCAGTTGATTTAAGTAGTCTTTATCAGTCGTTCCATTCATTAACACCAAAGCATTTGGTAAATCTGTAAAAAGCAATGCCATCATAAATTGTCAGTTAATATTTTAATATAACAAACATGATAACAGACTACACACCAAGCTTCAAATTTTTTGTAGGACTAGCTTCATCGGAATTTGTTTGGTCGGTGTTGAAATAATTTTGTCCATCGGCATCATTCTCCACTGTTATCAAATCGGTGTCGCCGCTATTTTGTCTGGTAATGGATACGAATAGTGTGTCATCACTCGATGCACTCGTATCTTCATTTCCTGTTTGGGTAGTATTTCAATAAAAGATTTTTGATATACATCATAATAGGTCTTTACCTATGAAATTGCCGTTTTGTATGCAAACTGCCAATGGGTTGGCAAAGATGCGTCGATTGCATGGGTGATTACTTCGAATAACAGGAATAAAAAAGTTTGAAAAAATAAGTACTTTTACTTATTGCATACAAAACGGCAATTTCATAGGTAAAGACCTAATATTAAATTGATTTTGAAGGATTAGTTTTGAAATATGGAGTAGCATCACCTGTATAACAATCAGGTGCATCAACCTTTATGTAGAGAGTGCCATCGGAATCGTTAGGTATATTTAATTTTATTTCTAAGCCACTCTTAGGTTGTTTTAGTTGTAATGAATTATACCCAGTAGCTTTATCTGTATTTACGTAATTCTGATTTATAGGAGCTGCTGTGTTATCATCATATTTTTCTGGATCACCAGTATTTGCTAAGGAATCGTTATAAGCTGATTGAACAAAAAATATCGAAGCTAAAGCAGCTTGCAAAATTTATTTTGATTGCAGTTTGAAAAATAAGTATTGATTAATTTTATACACTTCAACGTTTTGCTCACCTGATTCATTACTATTTTTCTCAATTTCCACACTATTTGTAACTTGTGTTAAAACATCATCGATACTGTCAGTGTTATGCAAATCGTCTAGATTAGTAGGCTGCGATGTTGTAGTATCATAAGATGTTAAAACATTATCTGAATTACTCAGTTCTTCTGTAGCATATACGCTTTCTATTTCCAGAGGCTCTTTATCTGCCGGAATCGGCGATGAACCATCTTTCACGTTATCTGTGACAAACTCTATCGGTGATATTGTGATGATTTCATCAACTGGAGTGCTATCTGTAATTTAAATTACAACAAAGCCTATTAATATTATTATTTATAACAAAATACAGTCTGCGGTTTATGGTCTCATAAAAAGTAACTAAACTCACTTGGATTATTGTCCAAATCACTATTTGATGATGTTTGTGTTGTCGTGTCTTGAAGGCTCTCCTCATATTCACGAGGAGGTAGTATAGAAGAAGTATCAGTTATAAGAAAATGTGAGTCTTGATGTTCTTGGATTTCTAAGTTATCAAGGGCTGAAGTGGTTGATTTGAATATACCAGGGGATATCATTGTATGCAACTGTGAAGATGGTATCGTAGTATGTCCATGACCAGAGGGATATTTACTATCGTGATTTGAAGCAGTTTTATCTTGTGGCGAATAATAATTACTATCGCTAAGTAAGTCCTTATTAGTCTCAATAGAAAGTGAATCTAGGAATTCTTGTATCATTGCATCATCAGAAGCGGGAGTAGTTGAAGTATGTGTACCCGTAGGTGATATATGTGTTAGAAGTTTTGATGGCCACCTTGAAACGCCATTGTTCTGATTTGAGTTATATGGACTGTTTCTATTCTCATAAGCCTCAGAATCCCTATTATAGTTATTGCTGTGTGAGGTCAATGGTCCTAGTAATGGATTATAATTATCTAGTGATCCAGGGGATGGATTATCATCGAAAACAGTTGATGACGATGAATTGGAATTAAGATTCTCATTTAGCGGCTGTGACGCTAATGGTGAATTGTAGGCATCATCAACATGAAGGGGTTGTTTATTGTAATTATTTTCATTTGAAGTCACTGATGAATCAAAGTAATTTGTCTTATCGGGAAGGGTGTCCAGAATTTTTGATATCGATTGTTGACTTCCTGGAAGAGAATTGGAGGTCACATGTGGCGACGGTACAAGTGGTTTATCATTATGTACTACGATGTAGTCAGGATCGTCGCCTGTATTCAAATGGTTCACGTACTCAACTGTGCCATTTGCATAAATTATAACGAAATTCTTTTTTATTTTACCCAAGAAATACTCTTTCACATTTTCGCCTGAAAAAAAAAAACAATTATTGCCATCAATACAGTAAAAACTTTAATTCTTTTGGGAAAACATGATAAATTTGATAATTCTTTTAATATTTAAACTACAAACTACTACAAAAAAATCTACATAAAACTTTATCATAGGTTTTTTAAAGTTACTTTGACATTTGTTTGTATAATATATTAATGTTTAATAAGCTTACCATCTTGAAAATCATAAACATTTTCATTAGGGTTTTCGTCAGTGAAATTGTAAAAAATATTAGTTTTTTTGTGATCAGCCGTTGTATCTGAGGCTCCTTCATCGTTTGTAGGTTTCAGAAACACATTATCATTGCTCGCGGTCTTAGATGGAGCAGAATCATTCTGTATTACAGGACTTACGTTATGAGTATTCAGAGGTGCATAGTTATTTGGCTCCTTTTCAACTATCGGTTTCCGAATATACTTAGTACTTCCACTTTCATCTAGTACTGCACCAAGCGGTACTTCTGGGCGATAAGCGTCACGTACATGATTATGCGGTTGAGAATGAATTATAGGGCTTTCCGTATGTCTATAAGTATATAAAGGCTGCACGTTATGTCCGAAATTAATAGGAGGATAACGTGGTGGCGGTGTAATAATGGGATGTCGCATATATCTTTTATAGAAATTATTGAAACCTGTATTAACAGATGCGACATGAATATTTTTGTTGTCATTAGATTCTGGTGGAAAAATGTAACTTCCGGGTTCATTTAAAGCTTTAGAAGCAGGCTGGTTGTGATTTTCAAAATCATAAGAATTGTGAGGTCTAGACGATGCTGGGACTTTTTCTACGTAGGCATTACGTCCAGATTTTGCTATATCAGTATTGTGCTCATGTGCCTCATGATAACTTTCGTAATGCACGGGACCAGCACGTGTTTCAGTACTAGGCCTATTATGAGCCACATATCTAATGTTTCCAGATTTTTGTGGCACTGGATGATAATAGAGATCTTTTGGATATGAGTTATCAGCTTGATACTGTTGACGATTGACCGGTGGTGACTGCATGACTTGACCTGAGTTATGATATTGTTTTTGTACGGACAGCGGACTTTCATGGGCAGTGGGAATATTATCAATGGCACCCATCGTTTGATTTTCGAACCCATTGTGTGACTGCCAATTCTGTTGCTTGAACTGATTATCCACTCTGATTGGGTGATGCTGGTTCCTGATAGGAAATGAATCAATTCGCGATACAAAATCATCTTTTCTCTGTTCATTTGTACCTTCTGGGGCAACGTTTACTGAATGAAGAAAGTAATTATCATAATTTTTGCCATGCTGTCTTCTTCGATTAGTTTCAAATTCTTGACCGGTCGGGAATTGTTGTGCAGAATTAGTCATAGCATTTACGCTATGAGCTCGTGTGAAATCGGAACCATGATATTGTTCAGCTGTGTTTACGTTTTCTTGCCAGCTATTTGATTGAAATGCTCTTTGTTGGCCCAATTCCTCATCAAAAGGAATTGGTGCTGAAAAGTAAGCAAGGATATTTGTTTCACACAATTTTTTATCACTGATTTAATTTTTTAGTTTTAAAAGTCTTTCGTAGTACAGAAACATTAGAGATATTACAAAGCATGCAAATATTTACGACTGAAATATTTTTGGCAAAATGTGGGTGTTCAATTCGCTCCACCCTAACCCGTCGAGGATAAAGACGTGAATGTGTTTATTTATTAGTATTGAAAGGTTAACACACGAATGCTTACCAACAAATTTAGACCCGAAAAGCAAAGCACAGAATAATATCACTTTAGACCTCATGGTTGACTACATGGACGCTGTTTCACACAACACTGCTAGTTTCAAAAGCCTCTTTATTGTTAAAACGGCGCGAACTAATAAAACGAACAAGCTGTTCAAACACAAGTCTGTTGTATTACCCCATTTAGGTTGTCAATGTGCGTACATAAACGAAAATTGATAATTACGTCAATATGTACGGCCCCTAAGAATAATATTGATGTTCACAATTTTGCTAATGTACTCGTTTGTATTTTCCTATTAGGCACGTTTGAAAATTTAAATTCTAATTAATTCAAGACATGTGCACTAAGAATAGCTTTACTGATTACTGATTTATACCCTTTTAAGAAGGGAAACAGTTTCAATTTTTTTTCTTTTATTAAGTTACAAATATTTTTCAATGTATTTTTTTAAACTGATATCTGTACGACAGACGACAAAGAAAAATGGTAGTACGAGGTAGGTAAGTGTTTAATCTAAATATAAACTTTCGAAATATGTTTTCGTAGTAACATAATACGTCTTATTTACATTGTACTGTAAAATAGTGGTTTTGGAATTTTTGAATTATTGTCACTTTAGTATTGTTTGTATTTTGTATTGTACTAGGCTAACATAAATCATGCGCAAGCCGATGTTACAGTAAGTTTACTTTGGACTGATTTATGTTCTTAATAATTTATAACTAAGCCATTAAGATGTTTAAAAATTATAATTTATTGATCTTTGTAACTGCAAATACCTGGTAATACGATAATGATTTATTGCAATGTTATTTTCTAATAATGATTTATTTTTCATGCCTCAATGTAAATTTTTGTATAGAAATAAGTTCAACCCTTCTTTTTTTTTTTTAAAGAGACAACTCCCGCACTAGGAATAAATCCTGTGTCGCGGGGGACTTTACAAACATACATGATACGGACACAAAGTACACCCAGACTCAGAACAACAATTTGTGGATCACACAAAGTGTTGTCCCATGTGGGGTTTGAACCCACAACACTCGGCGTAATAGGAAACGGCGTGGCGACCGCTTAAACCACTACGCCATCCGTGCAGTCAATTACGCTATTACGTTGCGCATTAGACACAAAATTTATAGACTTATAATAACGAAATTTATATTTTTCCATTTGCTTAATGAGATATTTTTTTTTATGAAATATTGTATTTATTGTAAATATTGTTTTCGGATATTAACAAGAATAATACAAATTTGAAAATAACTTTGGGTAAAAAGAAATGCCTTTTGCTATTCTTACTTTCAAACCGTAATATCACAAGCAACTGATACAAATACTTATTTTATTTATTTTTATTTTATTTTTATTCTTTATGCACAAGTATGAGTTGTACAATGGCGGACTTAATGCCACGGGCATTTTCTCCAAGTCTACCTCAGGGTGGTGCTGAAATGTATGGCTAGGTGCACTAGACACTAGTTAGACAGAAACAATGCGATTAACATACCTACTCGTACATACGTACCAAATACACATACATAAATACTTGCCTAGTTACATAAACCTACATATTAATAATATTAGTATAAAACTTTAAGGTTCTAAGGTGAATCTGTTGGGGTGTCACTTATGTTTTAAACCAACGTCATCATCATCATTAACTTGTGTGTATCAAAAATGAAGCTTCTGTGTTATAATCTCTTTCTTTACAGTAATTGTATTTATAAATCCTAAGATTAAAGATGACTATATTTTTGTTATTTATGATTTAAACATTAATTAAAGCCCAATGCGTCAATAAAATTTAGGAGGACAACGCTTCGTAGCACCACGAACACAATTTGATCACAATTATTTAAAGATAAAATAAAAGGCCGACACCGAAATACCCATCGTGATTACCTACTACATTTTAATTTCATTTCGTCTGTGTGTAATCGCTATCCGTCCCTTAAAAGCGAACCTCCTCCTATTCCTATACCTACAAACATTACCAACCTTTGTTTCGACGAATCTCGAATTCTTGCGGGAAAATGGTTTTCAATTTAAAATAAAATAGCTAAGCCTACTTACATGAAAATTTTACGTATATAAAGACATCGTATGGTACCATGCGAGAACCATTTAAACTCTTAAGGTAAATGGAATCTTTCATTTATTCCTTTTTATTTAAACTACAAACCGACTGGTAACTTTCCGTACTGGGTGCCTGTAGTTTGTTGAAGGCTTATGTATAAAATTGTTACCTTTATACGCTTTTTATACATACAAACTATTACAAACGTTAAGTATTCCAAATATCATTCTTATTATTTTATTTTCTGTGTTTTCAAGCTACTTAATGTAATGATTAGTTATATATTTTTAATGGATTGCCATACCTCAGGCAACTGAAGTCTGAATGTAAACAATTTTCTTTTCATATTTCCAAAAAAAAGGATAGACACATAAAACCTGAATGATCAAGGTCGTCTCTGGACGAGTGTCTGCACTAAACAAAAACACTAGCTAAACCTTTATAAGGAGTAACTAGATTACACACTAATTATAAATATAGAAAAGTATTTATAAAAACTTTCGTAAGCCAACGTGTATTTGTATTTATCAAAAAAACCTCACGCAATTAAAACCTTAAAAATAGTAGACAACATACGAAAAATTGTTGAAATATGGTTTTTGTTGTATGCTGCTATCAAGCAAATAGGTCACCGATGGTAAGTGGTTATCGCCGCCCATAAACACCCGCCACTCCAGAAAAGCAAATGTGTTCCCACACTTTGAGTGCCCCACCCCTAGAATTACAAGGAGGTGTTGAGCTTGCGGTAACCTTACCCACTCGGTGAATGGGCCAATATATACTGAAGCATGGCTTCTCTGTAATAAATCCCAAATAGTTTTTACTGAATTCTGAATAGGCTTACTGGAAATGGTGTTACTTAAGTCTATTAAAGCTCAACCAAATATCAAATGTAAACGAAATAAAATCTTTCTCTTAATCTTCGTGTTCTGTTCGTGGATGATTGCAGAAGTCAAAAGCAATTAACTTAATAAAAAGAAAAAAAAGTTGCTATAGGGTTTGTTTCAAGTTTTCCTTCTCTTTGCAGTGCTGTCGTCCTGCGTAGTTTGCTCCCTTATTCGGCTCTTACGACACCCACGGGATGGATAGGGGTGGTGACATTCCGTATTCTTAATCCGTCACAACACGGACTGCTATCAATGGAAATATACTAATATTATATAAAATATTCTCACACATCCCAAACTAGGCAGAGCCTGTACTATGGTAACCAGACTACTGATAACCATACTTATATATTTCTAAATACATACATATTAGAGATAAAGTCCACCCAGAAACAGAAAAAATGACCGTGCTCATCACACAATTATTTGTTCTGGGTGGGAATCGAAGCCATGACCTCTGGCGTAGCAGTCAGGTTCACTAACCTCTAGACCAACAGGCCAGTCAAAAGTACAAAGTTTACTATATTCATAAACTTATTTATAGATATTATAATACTTATATATACAACACACTTTAAAACACTTTTTGTATACACATACATTTACATTATATTCGTACACCATGAATACCAGAATATAACGAGTACTTTCGAACATATACTTCTGCAATCACATCAAGAAGGAGATCATGTACCTTATTTTTTAATACAAAACGGTTTGTGGACATCCTGATTTACAAGAAATATGCCTTCTTGTTGGTTCTTATTTATAAAGTGTATTCCCTTTACGAACAGAAATATCCAATATCAATATACAACTAATTTATATTGAGTCCTGTCTAACCAACTGCTCAAACTTTTCAGACAAGCTAGACAGTCCTTATGTATAATACACATACTATTCATACTTATTCAATATTAATTAAATTAATTATATTTGCATATCCATATCCACTGCATATGGTGTTAAGCTGTAAATAATTGTTACACTGAATTATGTTTCCTTAGCTAGTAAGTTCTGAAAATGTTAGTTAGTGTTAATAATTGTTTGTTAACCAAAGAAATAAATAAAATAAAAGTTAGTTTAGTTTGTTTAGTTAGTTAGCTTAGATTTTATGTATTTCTAATGCTCTTTGAATTTAGTTCCAGTGTATTACAAGCATTAGAATGTAACTCACAATATTTACTAGTTTCTTTTGGCAACAGTCCATGTAATATTGAACTAAAATGAAAATGTCATATTTCATTTATGTAATAAACAAGATAGAAAAACAATTGTCTATCGTAGCATTGGCGTTGTCGTGATGAGTAATATACTAATAATACCATGGGATATGCTATACGGCACCATCTCGATTCAAACTAAATCTATCATGTTTATGGTATGGGTTCTAGAACACAGACAAATATATTCCTTCCTTACATAAAACCTCACAATGCCTAGCTCCATTCCCATTCTCCATTACATTGCTGTAATACCATTCCAGTAGGTATTACAGCGTACAATTAATCCTCCCTGGGATTTGAGCGCAGATTTGAGGGTTACATTGAGTGAGTAAGGTTAGTAAGAATATAAATTCTTACAACCTTAGTCACTCAATGTAAAGAAACAATTGCATATCATTGATTTTCTGTGAGGCCTTGTTATTATTCCAGTGGGAACTGCCCATATAGGTCGAAGCATCGCTCTACGCGGCTGATGTTATATCCCAATCATTTAATATGTAATTATTACTCACTTACTATCCTTCATTTTAATAGACGATTTCTACTACTAAATTTACATTTATGTTTTAATTTCTTTAGTCTGTTGACTACTCTATTTGTATAACTCAGTAGTAGTTAGGTAGTTTATCAAAATGTTTAAAGGATCTCAACAGTATTGCGCTCAATTCCTCTTTAAAATTAAATAAATACGAACCCCTCTTGGAACTTTCTCATAGTGAGCGTTGGTTTGTTACAGAACGAAAACGACGAATGTCATAACAGATTTAACTTTAGAATGTACCTAATTCAACGTACCTACCTGTATGTATGTATAGTTCCTAAGTTGATGTAAGTTTGTTTTTGTTTACAAATTTTATGTTAT